GCTCACAGTCTGAACAAGGAGAGAATGATTAATTTTTTTCTGGGCCAGAGTTATAATCCCTGGAGGCTGCGTTGCTTATCTGTTTTATGGCAGTCGCTCATGCCCTTGATCCTACTACAGATAACTGGAAGGGCTCTGAAAAAGGGAAGCAGACCACTCCCCCCTTATTGGAGGCTTCGGGAGGAAAGGTTTGCTTTCATATCACCCAAATGCCTGACAAGAATTCAAATGACAAGAGAAAGAGGCAGGCAGGCAGGCTGGCAGGAGAAAACTGGGTCATGCGGTTTAAAAGCCTGTAGCTAATCTTGGCAAGCACACAAGCCCCCTGTTGAATAACACCGATTTAGAGGGTCATTTCCTCATTCTCTTTCTCTGCCCTCAGCTGGTTGTTGTGGCTTTCAGCCTAAACTGAGGATATTCAACAGGTGAAATATTTTATCCATAGCTCTATAATGAAATATCTGTTTGTGAATTTTTTTAGCTGCAAAAAACTATCAAACAAGAAAGGAATCTTTCTTGATTAAAAGAATCTGACTTGATTAAAAAACCACCAAGTTGCAGTTCCAAAATAAACACTGACAACAGCACTGGGTTGTAAGACATGTGAAGTTTGGAAAAGTTTTGTGTTCTATAGTCCTCAAATCTCTAGCTAGCATGGTCAGTGGCGAATTTGGAATATGTAGTCCAAAAAACAAACTTTCTCAAGCTTGGAAGTTATCTCTGAAGTTCATCCTACAGGGTAGATTGATAATCTACTCATCCTGAACACATAGCATAAACATGATGGTTTGATGAAGCTCTAGGGTAGGTTTCTTTGTTTTCTATCATTTTATTGTAAATTACAGTGTACATTTGATGGTGCTATATAAAACAACTATGACCATTACAACAATATAATATGGAGAGTAATTTCTAAAAACAAATGCATATTTTTTGTTGTTATGTGCCATTTCCAAATTATGTTGACTTTATCACAGATTGTTTTCTTTTTGGCAAGATTTGTTCAGACAATGTCATCTTCTCCTGAGGCTGGGAAAGTAGGACTCTCCTGAGGCATCCTAGTGAGTTTCCATGGCTGAGCAAAATTTGAATTCTAGAATCTCTAGAGCAGGGATGGGCAAACTTTGGCTCTGGTTTTCCTGGTTTGTAGCGAATTAATTCAGGATTGTCCAGGACGTCATATGGACAACCCCTTCTTTATTGCAGGAGTTACCGCAATAAAGGGGCTGTCTGGATGCACCCTACAACTCTAGAAAACAGGGTTCCCACTCAGTACAATGACCAAGTAATGTATTTTTAGCCTGAGAAAAACCTGTGATAGTTTCACCTTAGGGTCCCCATATAGTAGAAACAACTTTGAAGGTAGCAACAATAAACATACCTAAATACCCCAAAGGCACCAGATCCTGCAAGCTAATAAGGGTCATGTTAATACTTGAATGGGAGATCACCAATGAATATTTCAAAAAGAATACTTCAAAAATAAGCATTGAGGCAGATGTGGCTCTCTGAAGAGTCTTAAAAGGTTATCTGTGTTAAAGCCTCTCAATGCCTTATAGCAAGATCCCAATCCAGATCAAGCCTCCAGTATAAACAATATGCAATGGGAAGGTGAGACTTCCATTAGAATTGAAGATATTTGATTCATAGTTGCAGGATTGGAGCTACAATAAAGAGTTAACCCCATATGGATTCGTCCCCTCAACAGTCCAGTCACTACACCTCCTTTCATTTTTTTCTCTGGGTCTCTTGCCTATTGTTCCGCAAGGTCAAATTGTGCTGGCATATAGGATGATAATAGGTGGAAGTTACAGGGACGAATAAGAACTGGGGCCATAATTCACATCAAGAAAAAAAACATGAAGATTAGTTCCAGTATAGTGGAGCACACATTTGAACTGAAACACAACAAAACTGCTTGTCTTGATACATCTGTAGAGTGAAGGATTTGCCCAGTGACTGATGCTTGAATTCAAATTTGAACATGAATTTAGTTTTGGCTTTCATGCCTTAATCCAACAAATCCACCCTTTCCACATTAATCTCAATTTCTGGACAACTCAAAGCAATTTGAAGAGTTTAAATGTTACTATTGTACAAAACATTTGTAAAACAAGCTGAATTTTATTACTATTATTTTCAATAGGAAAGGGAGAGACAGACAATCCCTTTAGTTGGTAGACCCAATGCAATATTCCAAAATATTCAGGTACCTCTGTTAATTCCAGAGAATATGGGGGCGGGGGGGAGAGATGATTATACATGTCTTCTGAAAGACATATCCAGCTAATGCCATGACACTTACACCTGAAAAAAGCATTTAGGATTCCGGTCTTGGAGTTCTTTTTGTTTTGTTTTTTTGTTTTTTACTGTTGCTTTCATAATTCCTCTGATAAGAGCATCTGAAATAGTATAATGATACGTAAGAGAAATTCTGCAGGGTCTCCTCCTCAGATGTACTATATATAGCAGTGGTTCCCAAATTTTGTTTGACCAGGGACCACTCTCCAACATTAGTATCAAAAGGGTTACGAATCAGTTTTTGGTCAAGTTTAGATTTGGTTTGGTTATTTGGTGCTGATTCAGAATATTGCATTGGGTCGACCACATTAGCTCTAGTTTCCGATACAGAACATATGCCATCCAGTAGTCGCCATCTGCTTGACCACAGAAAACCATATTTAATAAGCCTCAGCACTATAAGAGGGTTTCACGAGACCAGTTGCTTCTACTGCAACAGTGTAGTTACGGTGAGGCTGCGGACCATATTTTAGTTCTTGAAAACCACTGGTGGTCTATGGACCACAGATTGGAAACCACTGATATATAGATCTTGGAAAAATTACTGGATAGGTACACTGGACAATAACTTCCACAATTCCCCATCCAGTACAGCAAGCGGTCATACTATTTGGAAGATTATGGGAGTTTAAAAGTAACTTTTTCTAGCTCTGATTATATCCTAAGTTGAGTGCATACATTCTTGGGTCAGCTGCGGAAAAATCCATATGAAAATACATAAAGGCATTTCTCCTCTTTCCTCTCTTCAACAAATAGGACAGAATCATACTTCCCCTAAAATTGCTTACCTTTCCTACATTTGCTGGAGTAGTGTGTGTCAGACATGCAATTTAATTCCATCACCCTTGAGTTTATTTGCTTTCCAAAATGTTTACTGCATACTGACTTCCAGTACTTGTTTTTTAAAAAGAGGGGAGCACCTCAGCAAGTAATGGGGGGTTTCCTATCCTGAACATATAAATATCCTAACCTAGCATTGAACTGTCAGCAGCCAAAAGACAATACCATTGACAAGTACCTGGGGCTGGCTATTTAGCTTTATTTTTTTTTCTTGGGAAGCTGTTTGGGGCGACAGAGTGGCGTCCCAGTTTCCCAGGTTGTTGGGCTGACATACTGCAGTGGCAGTAGAGGGCAGGAGTCGGACAAAATCTCATTAATCATTTTAAATTAAATCCAACATTCCTCTTCAACGCTGCCAAGGAGAAGGCGTACTTTTACAAATGAAAATGCCTTGGGAAGGGGAAGGTATTCCAGCCCCGCTGCTTTCAAAACAAGCAGATTTGAGCTGAATACAGAGAGGAAGGAACCTTCACTGAGAATGAGCCAAGGTTTTTTTTTGGATGCAGCTAGCAATCTCTTCCATTTTCCTGAAAACTTTAATTGATTTGGTTGGTTAATGTTCTCTATCCCAAGAGCTCCGAGCTCCCCATGTTTCAAATAAATACAGTCTTTTTTTAAAAAAATAGAATAAAATACAAAAACATAAAATACTATGCACTGGTTTCAGTCTATTGGTGGCTGTGCCGGCTATAAACAAAATCCAGTATTTCACTCTAGAATGTATCGCCACAATATAGTGGTGATACATTTTCAATTTACGGAAGGTGAGAGCAGGGGACCCTGATGTTGCCCATTGAGTTCCCTGACCAGATGGGAATTGAACCCATCTTTAAAGTCCATGCTCAAGCCATTACACCAAGCTGACTCTCAACCCTTACGAGGCCACCAGACAGTGCAAAATATATCACAATGGGTTTCAAAACTCACTGCCTCCTTTATCAAGCAAAAACATCAAAGAAGCATACAGGGGAAGAAAAGCAATGGTCCTGGGTCTACATTTTGCTTGTTTTTGATAGAATGACTTTGTTTTTAATCTGCTTTAATCTGTTTAATGGTCTTATCTGCTTTTTGTGTTTTAATTGTTTTATAGTTGATAAGGTATGTTTTATTGTTATATTGGTTTTATTGTAATGTATATTGGTTTTATTGTAATGTATATGTTATGGCATTGAATTCTTGCCGGAAGCTGTAATGTCAAAGGGAGATCACACTTCTCCCAATTCTGATCTGCCCAAGACAAATTTGGAAATAAATAGTTAAGAACCACTTTTATTTCCAGACAGCAGTAATGATGAAGGCATCCAGCTATGTTGAGGTATGATTTCAAGGAACATATTTCATCTTTCGAAGCACCAAAATTGATGCACAAAAACAATCAGATGCTCATTTCTTGTGAGTGTTGTTGGCTGCAAGTGATAGCTCAGAGTCATAGGTAAAGGTTTCCCCTGACATTAAGTCTAGTTGTATCCGACTCCGGGGCGTGGTGCTCATCTCTATTTCTAAGCGGAAGAGCCAACGTTGTCTGTAGACACCTCCAAGGTCATGTGGCCAGCATGACTGCATGGAGCACCATTACCTTCCTACCTATTGATCTACTCACATTTGCATGTTTTCGAACTGCTAGGTTGGCAGAAGCTGGGCTTAACAGTAGGAGCCCACCTTGCTCCCCGGATTCAAACCACCAACCTTTCGGTCAAAAAGTTCAGCAGCTCTGTGCTTTAACCCTCTGCTCGACCATGTTCATGTATACCTCGAAATGAACATTTGTAGAGTGATGAGAGTATTTAGTTGGCACAAAATTACAAAATAAACCAGTAGTGCAGGTTCACAATGTAAAAAATACAAGAGACACTGTCTACTAGAGAGAAACAAGGAAAACTTTAGTTAAAATATTTTACAATAAAATAATTATGGTTATAAATCTCTTTAGTTAAATATGTACACATTACATGGTATTTTTTTTTTAAAAAAATGAAAGAACAGGTTAAAGTTTTCAAGCAAATCTATTGCACAAGTCCTCCATCTTGTCAGTTGAAAATCAAAATGTCACTTTAATGTTTGGATAAAGTAATGTGTCAGACTAATGGTAATATTTTGTGCAAACTGTAAGCAAATTTCTTATTTAAAAAATCTGCAAAAATTTCCTTAGTTCCCATGGTAAGTTGCTAAAAAAGTTATCTGCATACATTTTGATTGCAGAAAGAGGTTAGAATGACCAGCACTAATATAACCCCCATATCTACAAAAAAGAGAACTCTGTGGGGAACTAATTTCTTTTAAGCAATAAACTGTAAGTCCAAGCAAAGTGTGCTTTTTAGGCAGCAACGTGGCCTATAAGGTAGATATTGTCATAAAGGTGTCCAACAAAATCTTCGCTAATGTTCTGAGCAGCACGGCGAGTATTTCGGATAAATTCTCTCTTAGACATTTTATTCTTCACATGAGGGCTGGTAAGATCAATGGAAAGCAGGATCAATGAGTAGCATAGGACATAGACAGCATCTAAGAAAAATAGGGGGAAAGAAGGAGGGAAAGGGCATTAGAAAAGAATATGACAAATGAGGACATGACAACGCAATACTACCAAGTCACTTTCTATACCTACGCATTAAAAGTCTTTTAGAGGAACTGAATACTCTTGAAGTTTATGCTACTTGCTGAAAACATTTACCGTACATACTCATGTATAAGTCAACATCATATAAGTCAAAGGTAGGTTTGGAGGCCAAAATTGAAGATTTTGTTATGACCTGTGGGTAAGTTGAGGATCATTGCAGAAGCGAACACACCAGTGACTCAGGGGGGTAACCATACCTGGCTGCTGGCATTCAAAAAGGCCAGAAGTGGTGACATGGTTGAGAGATTAGAAATGAGTACTGCTTCTTCTAGGTTCTCCCAGGACTGACACAGTGCCCTTCCAGAAAGGTCCTATATCCCAGGATCTGATCCCACATTTGCTGCTTTAAACTGGATTATATGAGTCCCTACTGCCAGATAATCTGAGATAAACAGTAACCTAGGATCAGATCCTGGAATATAGGGTCTGTCTGGAAGGGACCTAAGCTGTTGTCTTGTGCCACTCAGAGTAGAGCTCTTTTTCTTTTTGCTAAACGTTAAGGTATAGTGCTAACACTGACCCCTGGATAAGCTGGTCCAGGCTCTTTGGTTTATTTTTAAAAAATTAAAAATTATGATTATACATGAGCATATAGGGAAGGTAAAAATATGGTAAAGGTATGTACTCCTTTTTATATATTGATTTAATATATAATATTTATATACGGACTTGATAACATAGTAATTTAGAATGGTAATAACAAAAAGAAAAAAAACAACCCAGGTTGAGTACTCTTTATTTGGAAATTGAAAATGCTCCAAAATTGTTCACTGAAGTAGTGGCTGAAATAGTGACATTTTTGCTTCATTACTGACAAACTTTGTTTCATGCACAAAATTATTTAAAATACGGTGTATCAATTTACTTTCAGGATATGTGTATAAGGTGTATATGTAACATAAATCCGTTTCATGTTTATACATGGGTGCCATCGTCAAGGTATCCCTTTAGCAAAAATCATGAAATCCAAATATCTAACACTTCTGATCGCAAGTATTATAGATAAGGGATACTTAAACTGTACATACAAACCAACCAACAAATCAGAATACAACTAAAAATTACAGAGCTTAAAATACTTAAGACAGTAAGGCTTTCAAATATTTTGGTACCTCAAATATAGCAAGAGAGAGTTTCCTATAGCTAAAAAATCACGACTCAAACACTATCAAAACAAAACAAAAGAAAATGCCTTTTCCCTCAGTACAAATAATACCAAGAGAAATGAATATTCTGAAGGTATTATGACATCTGGTTCTTATTTTAGAGTTTCAGAATAGGTTATATAATAGCACAGAAAATAATATGAATCTCTATGTGAAAATTTCTGCACATGAACAATACAATTAATAGAAGTGATTATTTTGTTCTCAACTACCCACTGTATAGTTATTAATACTCATCATTCAAAATTAATGTGAATTTAAAAGCATGTAAGATTGTATTGGGCCACAGCAATGGTAGCAATCAGCCCTCCGGATGCTGAATGCAACTCTCAGAATTCCTCTCCTTTGGAAGAACTGGCTGAGGCTCATTATCACTGTAGTTCGGAAACATCTGGAGAGCCACATAATTTCCAGCACTTGCCTACAGTCATACATACAGATCCTAAGTCCATTTGCTGGATATAAACATCTTTTCATTTAGTTATTTAGATGTATCTATATGCAGATAAATTCTTATTAATACATGCCAGATTTTAAAATGAACATACTGGTAAAAAAAAACTTATCAGGACTTAATTTGTTGTGTAATAAAATGCCCCAAGCCATGTACAAAATTCATACACATTCCCCTCTCTTACCTGGGCTAAGGCCAAGATCTCTCATCAAATCAGGATTGCAAGCACAAAATCTGTGCGAGAACTTTGTAATAAGAGTTTCAAGATATTCGCCACGCTCCTCTGGGGCATGAATGTGTTTGAAAAACTCTCTTAGTGCATTTGGCAAGAACTGATTTCTGAAGTTATGTAGTGTCACAAGGTCATCTAATACATCTCGCCTAATTTAAAGGGGGGGGGGGGGGAAGAAAAGAAAAGCATTCTGAGACCAATGGTTGACTTTTTACACACTGACACAAGGCATACATTTCAAAATCACAATCCTACATATGTCCACTCATGTGTGTGTCTACTTCACATATACGTTGAAGGATGGTTTTGAGGCCAAAATCACTGATCTTGATATGACCTGTGGATAAATCATAGATCATTCTGTAGAGAAGGGAAACTACCAACAACCAGTTACCACTGGACACTGCTGCCATTTTCACATCCAGACATTCAGAAAAGTTACAAATAAGCATATATAAGACTAAAGCCATATAACTTTTGAAGGGATTCCCACTGTTAAAAAACTTTTCATTCTTGATTACTTAACAATGAAAGAATATCCAAATAAAACAAATAAAGCTACAGCCAGTATATACCATTAGCGGAGTAAAACAGCATGCCAGCAGAATTACATTGTTTTTTCCAGCTGTACAAATAGTAGCACATTTTTAGTTGAGGTCTCTAGGCATGCTACTGATTGTGAAATCAATTCAACTGGAAACTGTATTGGACTTGCCTCCTGCACAGTCCAGAACTCCTTGTCTGTGAATGTAATTATCATTTCCATTAGCTAAATGACACTGTTGGATTCTGGCCACAGTGCACAGGTCAATCTGCAATTGAATGTACTTAGCACCAGAGATTGGACTGGGACTGTACAAACATCTTCCCTGTCCATTTGGATTCTAATTTTGGAGGATACGCTCAGAAATTGGGGGAGGATGTGCAAAAGTGCTCTGAAACATAATAATTTTTCTTTCAATGCATTCCGTATGGTAAAACTGAATTCAGGCTGGATTAACATCTATGCATAACAGGATTGGCAGAAGCAGACTTCCCCCCTTCACCCTTTCAGGATTCTCTATTTCCATTATGGCCAGATATCAAAAGATGCTTCTCAGTATCTTTGGGGTTTTTGATGGTGGAGGGGTTATCATAGATAGGAGTCTTCTTTCACTAGTTCAACTGGATATGTCTAAACACTGGATCAAGCATATTTCAAATATGTATCTATTGGTAAAACTATTCAGAAAATGCAAAGGATCTTTCTACCCTAAGTAAAACTATATTTATATAGTACCATCTAAGACAGCATGGTGTAGTGGTTTCAGTGATGGACTACAACTCTGGAGACCAAATTTGAATCTGGGGCTCAGCCACTGAAGCCCACTGGGTGACCTTGAGCAAGACACATTCTTACTCTCAGAGGAAGGCAATGGCAACCCCCCCCCGCCCCATGAACAAATCCTTCCAAGAAAAACCCGCGATAAGGTCGCCTTAGGGTCACCGTAAATCGGAAACAACTTCAAGGCACACAACAACAAACAGCATCTAAGTGCATGATACTTTACAAAGAACAGATATGACTAACATAAAGAGTAACACAGTTCCTCTCCTAAAATAATGACACAAAGCAGAGCTTCAGTGAAAACTGATATATGCAAAGAAACATCTGAGAAGGTGAAATACAAATGTTGATTGCTTCTAGCTACATGGGAGTGCCGTGCAGTAGCTTGTTTAAATTCACCAATAGCTGGTACAATCAGATATATATATATATATATATATATATATATATATATAGAGAGAGAGAGAGAGAGAGAGAGAGAGAGAGAGAGCGAGCGAGCTCTATTGGGAAAATAAGGTCATTACTTTAATTCTGATGTAAGTTTTAATTATGTTGTGAATGTATAAGGTACAGAAAAACTGTATTTTGAAAGGCAGCTTATATTTCTAGTTCTGGCGAAATTTTTGAATTGCAAGATGACTTGTTGAATAGTCATCATATACACACACAAACTTTTTATATGCCTGGAATCAGCCAGATTACTTAGGAAACATTGAAAATGAGGTAGAATTCTAAATAACTGATGAAAAAAACTAATCATGAGCCAGTAGAATGTACATCAAAAGTAAGTGTAGTGTTGATGTAGACACCTGATTCGTCATAAACTACTTTTGGACAAGACTCAATTCATCTCAGAAACAAAACCAAGCACAACACCAGCTGTCATGAGACACAATATTGGGGAAGTCTACAAATGACTCTGACTCTCATGCTTTTTTAAATATAAAAATGAATTGATTTCAGCTTCTTCTGAGAGAACAAACCATATACATTCATAGAAAAAATAGGCGCAAGGAGCTTTGCACAAGTTCTTCTTTCTGGCACAAATAAGAAGTTTATGGGAAACCATTTTCAACCGCCCATTAGTCTCATGCATTTTTATGGAATCGCTATACGTTTTGTTTCGTTTCATTCGTGAGGCCCCGTTTTCATTTGTTGCTCCCGAAAATGAGATGCCTATCCGAATGTGCTTTTGTTCCGCATCCAAAAGAACAAACATTTGCAGACCATTGGTGGCAATGGCAGGACTTTCTAGGCTCTCCCTCCCCTCAGTTTTAGGGCTAGAGGTGATGCACAAAAGGTAGGGACTGGAATCAAAACATGGAAATACAGAAGTTGAGGGAGAAAGAAAATGTAGTTTTCCAAGGGCAAGTTAAGAGAGAGAGAGAGACTGAAGATTTCATAGAGAAAATGGATGGCACAAAACAAAAACCCGAAATAAACAAATTAGACAAAAAAACAAATGAGATACACCCAGGACTACCGCCAATGTCCACATATCTCTGAAGCAGGCCTGAATGTTTGAGACAAGTACAGTTGGCTTTCTCCCTTTAAATAATAATACATTTCACATGTGTTCATCACAAGATTTAGCCCAGAGTCACCACAGGCTTGTATAAGAAACACAGCCGAATGAGCCCAGAGCTTTGAAAACCAAAAACACTGAAAACATTCTTTTCTTTGTGCAACACAGACTCAACTTTAACTACAGCTGACCTTAGAAATACAGGAAAACCAGTGTTAGCCAAGGGAACACATGCATCCCTGAACACTTGAGGCACTTCTCAAAAATGTTCAGGTTCCAGGAATTGTATATTGGGCCAATATACAACATCTTTTCTAAAAATTACAAATACAACTTAAACCCTAATTCTGCACATGCCATGCATTTTGTCCCAGCAAATTACAAGGGACCTACCTTTGAGATAAGTGCATATAGAACTGGCGCACAGATCTACATGATGGAATTACAGCAACAACATTAAATGTATGTTCATGTATTGGATTAGTTTGGAATCTTGACCATTGGAAGCTGAGCTTCCCAATGTAATTAGTACTGAACTGGCGTTTAAATTTTAAACTTGTATGATTGTTATATATTACTATGTTTATACTTTTTATAATGACTTTTTGTATGTTTTATGTCGGTAATTGCAATGCTTTACTATGCTGGAAACTGCCCTGAGTTCCCTGGGGGAGACAGAGAGGTATACAAATAAAGGTTTATTATTGTTGGGTTTTTTTGGTGTTGTTATCGGTGGTTTTCAACATTTAAGCTCTTTAATGTGGTTGGACTAAACTTTAATGTTGTTGATCTTCTTAGGTGGGACTCCTGGAAATGGGAGTCCAATGATATCTGCAAACTAGCTGTGGGAACTACTATATTGGATTAAATAAAGGCTAATATAGTAAAATGTAAATATTAGCACGACAACCTTTCATTGATACCAGTACTGATCGGAATGGCAGGGGGGCAAGGCATTCTAAAAGTAACCTGAAAGTTGTTGTGGAGATATGGTTTAATTAGAGAATTTTGTGCATACACAGAAATAATTACTCCCATTTTGACTGGAATATATAAGACAATATATTCACACATTTGAACTTGACTAATCACTAGAACAAAGAATGAGCAGGTGGCTTAAATGTAAGTAAGCAATTAGGCTATGTCTGAAAGGTATCTTTGGTTATTTAAAATTTGAAATACAGTGTGATCCCTATATTCGCAGGCAGCATTTACAGTGAAAACAGTAAACTAGATAATAATTTTCAAAGTCCTCCAGTTGAATCTATGCTATTCTTCTGTTGGAAGTGTTCAAAGAGTCACCCTGGAGGACCAAGGAAATGCCTTCTCTAGGAATTTGTTAGGTCTTTCTGGGCAACTTGATGATAACTTACAGCATGCCCCAGAATCATCTGGAGGACCTTGAAACAGTGGATCCCAGTCCTATGGCTATGGGGATCATATTGTATAGAACTGAAAAGCAGAATTATTCAGTGACTTTTAATAAATCCTGGCTTTTGGTCATTGCAAGATATTTACTTAATAAATATATGTTTTGTTCTATTGAACAAATTCCATAGATACTATCTGGAAATTTTTTTAAAAGTAAATACATTGACATCATTGCTGTTTAAAAAACTATTACTAATAACCCATTATTTTAGTATTTTCATAAGTTAATATATTGATATCATTGCTGTTGAAAAACTATTACTAATAATCCATTATTTTAGTATTTTCATAAGAAATGTAATGTTATTAAATAAAAGGGAACACACCATTTTCCATTTCACAATCACATTACCTTTCATCAAGATAGATCCTCAGTTTCTTCCAATTGAGTGTTCTTGTACAGAAGATAAACCTTGCTATTTCCTTTGGTGAATCATCCAGTATTCCCTTGGACATGAAGTAGTTTACTCCCTGGAACAAAGAAATGTTTTATAAAACGTATGGCCAGCTTTTAAAATGCGCAACTGGAGTATTTAACAGGAAACAAATCTAACAGAAATTATACCTTTGAAACTACATTTCAATATGCTCGCCCTAACTGATATGCAAACAAAACATATGCTAACATAGTTGTGCTCCAGTTTTCTGTGGTATCATATTTAATTTCCTAAGGTGGGCTCACATGGAAATGGTACATAAAATGCAGTATTCAGTCTTGTTTTATTTTAAAGTGTCTTTTTTTTTTTGGTGTTCAGTTGTGCATTCAAATAAATCAGTGGTTCTCAACCTGTGGGTCCCCAGGTGTTTTGGCCTACAATTCCCAGAAATCCCAGGCAGTTTACCAGCTGTTAGGATTTCTGGGAGTTGAAGGCCAAAACATCTAGGGACGCACAGGTTGAGAACCACTGAAATAAATGCTTTGGGTTTCCTATCCACCTTATATATTCATGTATAACTTTAGAAATTTTAGTCAAAAAATCTGCCCCCAAAACTTGGGCAGACTTATCCATGGGTCAATGTGATTAATGTAACTTAACTCTCATAAAAAAAGGAACTATCATCTTCTCTGGGTAAAGTTTCAAATATCAAAACCTAAAAGAATCACTGATCCTCTCTGCTGTGGCTCTGCTCCTGCCCTTTAGTAATGCCTGGGTATCACAATGATAGTTGCAGCCAGGGTCAGTAGTCAGCATTTTCATTTTCTGCTCTCCACAGAATGACCCTCACTTTATGGACAGGTCACATCAAAATCTATAATTCTGCCCAAATCTACTCTCAACTTAAGCATGAAGTCAACTTATACATGAATATATACAGTAACAGTCCTCCCCTCTGCCCCAGATTACTGTGAACTTCAAAGTAGTGCTTTAAAGCCTAGGATAGAAATGTTTTCACAACCAAAATGATGACAAAGAGGCATAACATCTGAAAGTTACGTCTTAGGCCTATGATCTCATGTTTTCGAATAGCCTCACCTAGCTCAGACACATTGCATTCTCAGTCCCAGCAGTAGTATTTGTCCTTAACATATAAGAGACAGGCAATTATGCTTGTTTGGTGTTGACAGGAACAGTTTCACTGCTGATATTAAAGCACAACATCAAATAGGCTTTTGAATAGATCAGGGTTGTCCAGAGAGCTCTGCAACACTTTTGTTTCCTATCGTAAGGCGTTCCTATGTCAAGGTGGGGCACAGGTTAGTGGTTTCATTTCTTTTTCTAAGTGCTGGACTCCATTTTAACTATGTGACAGCATGCCATTGTGTGAACCGTGAATCAGACAGCCTTATTATTATTATTATTCTCTAGCACTCTCTAGTCTCTATCCTATACAGCTGTAATATGAAGACTCTGCTATTCTCTTGTAATTTCAACTTGATTTATATTCATTTCAGTGCAGTAGGTACAATATGCAGAGAAGTAATATATGATCTAAATTACATTGTAAAATATAACTCTTCCAAGATTCATTGTGAGTTTTTGTGTCCCCCTTTTGGCTTTCAGTCCTGTTGGTACTGCCTTTTCTTTTTATTGTTACTGCAGTAGCAGCCTACAACTCCTCAGTCTGCACTTACTCAAATTTCAAAGATGTGATTTAAGCGCTGCAAATCTTTCAAAACTATCTGCTCTGTTTTGTTTTTACCACACGTTCCAGTATATATAGTTTTAGTACATTCAAGCCCTAGTGATGTCTATGAAGACATAGATGTCAATCTGGAACTAGGGAGAGAGGCAAAGTTGTTATTGGTCTTGACATAAATGCTATCATTTAGGTTAAACAATCCTTAAAACAGTTTTACAAGACATAAAAAGCAAACAAGTAATTAGAAAGTGCATGTGAACCAATAATGAAGAGATTTAAAGATGTATGATAGGCTTGTGCGCACAAACATAGCACATATAGTATTTTCCCAAGCATTTATTTGAGATCCATTATTTGCTTCCATGATGCAAAGCTGCCAGGTATAACATCTCCCTGTGTAAAAGTAAAAGTCATAAAGGCCATACTTAATGCACAGTTTTACCATGATAGACTAATTTAGCATTTTGTCTATTTATTTTCTGTATTTTTTTTTTACCAAACAGAAAAACGTATTAAAAAGCCCAAAGTTAGAAAGGAATATAATACAGCTACTCTCTCTTAAACTCAGTTCCTCAAAGCAAGTAAGTACTGGATTTCCAATCAAAATAACAACTGGAAGATAGTAATGGATTTCTACATTAAGTATACTTAAGATTACCAATTGTTATTCCCGAGTTGTATCAGTATTACTACCCTAAAACAACCAAAGATGTAAATAGCACTTGAGAAAACAATAAGAGTCTTGGAAGTCCACGAACACTTACTAATTTCAGCAGAACTGTACTTACCTCCTCAGGATTCGCATTAAAAGTAAGACTGCCTTCATCCAACTGCATATACAGTTTTCTAAAAGAAAATCCAAGAGGTGGATTCTTATTGTATATGGAACAGTGACCCCAAGTGGATTTGCACAATCTACAAAACATCAAAGGAGGAGGTTCAGTAGAAATTCATTTCCATGCTCTAAACTATAAATTGTAAAATGTTAGGCTTTTGAGCATGCTCTGAATATGAAGTATTGCATTACTCTTTTGAATATATTACACAACAATTTAATCCTTAAACCACGTAGTCCCCAAACCTTAACGAAACCTCCCTCACTAAACCTGAAAAATGCATTCTGAAGATTTCATTTTGTCTGGGAAACAAAAGGACTGCATTTAATTTTCTCTCTTGTGGATGGGGCCGCATTGGGAAAAAGAGGAGGGAAGAATCTGTTCATGTGAATTTGGGTTTTGCTTTCAGTCAGATAACTTACATACTTGGAATCTTAATACAAATTAGAAAACTATATTTTGTGATTAGTTACTGAAAATATTTATATGACATCATTCATCCTATCAGGTCTGAGGGTGGTATATTACCAATTATATGAAAAAACAATAGAACTGCAGATAAAGCATTTTAGAATTACAATGATTGCTTACACCAAATCAAAATGCCTAGACAATCAAGAACATTATTGGGTTGTTGGAGGTTTTTTCGGGGTATATGGCCATATTCTAGAGGCATTCTCTGAAAGAATGCCTCTAGAACATGGCCATATAGCCCGAAAAAATCTACAACAACCCAGTGATTCCGGCCATGAAAGCCTTCGACAATACAAGAACATTCTTGTCCAGCATCAGAGACTTTCCACAGCTGAGACTTTGTGTTGCTATATAAGGTACCTCTGATAAGAACACCCAGAAATAAGTTGAGAAGAAGAAGAAGAAAAAGAAGAAAAAAAGAAGAAAAAGAAGAAGAAGAAGAAAGATTATTATTATTATTATTATTATTATTATTATTATTATTTATATTCTGCCTTCTTTCCCCGAGAGGGATCAGGGCAGATTCACAACAAACGATGGCAAACATTCAATGCCAGATCCAATTCATTAAAAAGAAACATAAAACAAACAACAATGCCCCCCAAAAACAAACTAACATAGCTAACATTGGACATAAATTATATAAACAACAGTAACATTACTTTAAAATTATTATTAAAGTATTATGTAGCTAATAACGCCAGCAAAGTCAGTGGAAGCAACTAAGCCAAAACCGAGTCAGAATATAGTCACAAGTTCAAAATAGATATATTGATTGAATATGAAGTTCTAATCATCATTAGAACACAGACTGGCATGGAGAGAGCAATTCCTTCAACTATTGATCTCACAAGACATTTGGCTATTCAAGGTAAGTATTAAAACACTGAAGAGAGCCAACATGGTATAGTGGTTTGAGTGCTGGATTATGGCTTTGAATTTGAATTAGCTCAACCCACTACTGCATCCAAGCACCCCTTGGTTCCAGTATCTCCACAGCTTCTGTTGCTCCAGAAGCCAGAAAAAACAGAGCCGGATATACATGCAGTCCCCAAGTTATGAACAAGGCAGGTTCTATAGGTTTGTTCTTAAGTCAAATTTGTTTGTAAGTCAGAACAGGTAAAAAAATTAAGTGTATGACTAGTTAAAAATATCTATTTGTTAGATCTGGATAGCATAGGGAAGCGCAACATCCCTGTGGTGTTTGTTTTGCTGTCTGTGCCCCTCTTCAGAAGATTTTACCTCACTTTCTATCCTGTGATAATTAGATTTTGAAAAAATTGACATGCTGTGGAAATAACGACTGGCGATAAACCTTCAGAGGAGACACCTTTCCCCCTGATAACTCTTTCAGGAGTGAATGTCCTTTCTCAGGGGTAGACTTCTCTCACTTTCTTTTCTATCAGGCCCATTCTTAGTCACCTGTAAGTCAGATGTTTGTAACTCGGGGAATGCCTGTAGTCAGCTGACATTTCACTTTAAATGCTTTAATAATTTCCATCAACAGCTTTATACAGAAACACAGAGGCAAGATGAAGCCCTGCACAACTTCACAGCACAAATAGCATGCATCACTACCACTCTGCTACCTACTGGAAGCAATCCTGCATCTAGGTATGGAATCGCCATCTAATGGCTCATCTACACTGTAGAATGAATGCAGTTTGACCACATTTAACTGTCATGGCTAAATGCTATGGAATCTTGGAAGTTAGTTTGGTGAGGCACTGGTGCTATTTGGCTGAGAAAGCTAAAGGCCTTGTAAAACTATAACTCTCATGATCCCATAGCATTGAACCATACCATTAAAACTGTGTCAAACTGCATTCATTCTAAGACGTATTGTAGATGCATCCTAGGCATGGAGTATTCATATAATAGAGTTGCTTCCCCATATTATCAAAAGCAGCCGCAAAATCAATTAATAGTGTCACATGTTTTCTCCCTGTTACTTGATTAAGGAGACGATGGTTGCTATGATTTGGTTACAATCAAGTTTTGTTATGATTACTAACCAGAAACATTTTAATCTACAGAGCAATGGAAGCAAAAACTCTTCCAAACAGATACCAGTATATTCCAAAGTATATTTTAAAACAGCTTCATCACTATTTCATAAGCTAAACTGGGGAAGTACATGTGATCTTCAGTCAACCATAAGTAAGTAAGAGGTCTGGGAGGCATTTGGAGAGAGTGTTTTATGGACCAGAGAGTCAGCCACTTCCTAAATAAAGAATATAATCTAGTATCTGGTTTGTTCATGTTGTATGGCTGCAGCAGGGTGAGATTCATACAAAATCTCAGCCTAGCAGTCTTTACCTTTCAGCTAGAATTTGGTGCCTTGTATCACAATGCTATGCATATTTTCCTGGAAGCAAGTCTTAATAAAGTTAATAAAGTGAATGGGTTTTTAATTCTAAGTAGACATATCTATGCTTGCAATGCTAGTAGCACACTCTGGATAATATTTTAAAAGCATATACGACAGATTTCTATTATGTATGGGGAAAATGCTCACTAAGAACATGGCACTAATCCTATCAAAGTTATAAAGAATTGAACAGGCCAAGGTAGTATGTCATTTACCATATTCTGTAATATATTTCAAAGTGCTTTATTTGCATTAAATGTCAATTATTTTTAAAGGGAAAATACATTTAAAACTGTTTTCTATAGTAAAACAGATTTAAAACCACATTACATCATATTGGACTGTTTTACACTCCATTTCATAGCAGTAGAAAACATGTTGATTTATTTTACCATGCTGCAATGTCATTCTGTGAAAGCATAGATCGGGATATGGCATGCAAGTTTCCACAAATGTTGGACTACAAAAACACGTAATCCTGCAATGCCACGTGGGAATTTTGTGGGATTATGCTACTGCATTTCTTCAGTGAGAAGTGCACATCTGAATTCAACTCAGTATAATAAATGTGTAAAGTTACAGAAGTGTTATGCAGCAAAAAGCAAATACTATAAGTATCCTTCTGTATAACAATTTAAATAAAATAAAATCCCTTTTAGCAAGAGCCATGGAAAATATTAATGGAAACTACACTTCCATTATTGCTTATAAAATAAGTCCCTTGTTGTTTTTTCAAGTACTAATTGTACTTGAAGCAAGTAATCATTTATTAAATCATTCTTCTATAAATAACTAAATCAACAATGCATTTATTCTTTTGATTAGGGCAAGGAGCACTTCAGTCACATTAGAAACAAAAACAATGTTAGAAAAGCTTTAAAGAAACTTACACCTTGTTGTTAAACCCATTTGTGCTATCACATTAAATGTAATATATCTCAAGAAGACAGAAGTAACTCCAATTGTGGGGCTGAAATCTTGTAAAGGATTTTCTTGTCTAACCTAAGAAAAACATATCAATAATGCATGCCCACATTTGCGGAAGTTGTGTATGCAAATATCATTTCATCCATTTGGAAATGTTGATGCAAATTCCACATTTAAATAAGCAATGAGAGGATGGGTTTCTGTTTCTGAATACTATTGGTACATGTCAGTTTCTCTTCTAAAAATGGTCATTTCCCAATTAGGCCAAAATGCTGATCTGCTAAACATTTGCACTAGCAGCTTCTCAGGCTTTAAGAAGACCAGAGTTAGCAACTGAATGATCTTCATAACTGCTATGTTCAAGAGTAGCTCTGCGATTGACCATAAGGAGCCACTATTCAGTTTTGAGCAAATATTAATCTGACATGCTTGAAATGGTTCAGTATTTCGAGAGGGCAAACTCTTTTCATTCTGCAGCATGACCACAATGCAGTTGCTTCTCAATTTTCATCACTCGTCTCATATAATGTAAGTTGAACTATAAGCAACCCTTTAAAATCATTAAGTACAATTACGCAGTAATCCTTCACTTCTGATGTTTTGTTTAAAGAAACAAATGTTATGCAAAAAAATTGTGGATTTAATTGGTATTGTAACCTGTGCTCATGACCTCTCATTTACTTACCCTTGCCACAGTAGCTCATCATTAGCGAGATCCTGCCAGACACATGAAGCTAGGCAGAGGTCTGTTGCGTTCAGGTATGACAAAATGGTAAAGCTAAGCTCAGGAGGCAACATTTCCAGGTTGATGAACCCTTCTTGTTCTTTTGATTTCCGAGCTTTTAGCAGATGGTAAATGTCAATGCCTCCTTGGGCATGCTTCCGATGATTTGTGTTTGAAACATTATTAGCGGCTATCCTTCTACCATGCTCTCTAGAAAGATAACTTTGTCCTGCATATCCCTGGTGTTGTAACTGTTGGTTCCTGGCTACTCTCCACAGCCCTTGACCCATCTGCAAGCCTGTAGGATGTAAACAGAAAAGGAAAACAAAACAAATCAAAACAAAATTAGTTCATTAAAGCCACAACTATTTCACAGTAATATTTCTGGAAGCAAAATAAAGGCAAGTGCACTCAAATCCTACTGAAAAGACACAACAGCCCACAGAATGAAAAGTGATGTTTATGTAAGGTGGTCCCAAACTACAGGAAAGCATTTTTTTTCTTCGTGTCAGGAGCAACTGAGAAACTGCAAGTTGCTTCTGGTGTGAGATAATTGGCAGTCTGCAAAGACATTGCCCACGGGATGCCCGGATATTTTACCATCCTGTAGGAGGTTTCTCTCATGTCCCTGCATGAGAACCTGGAGCTGACAGACAGGAGCTCACCTCGCTCCCCGGGTTCAAACTGTCGACCTTTTGGTTAGCAGTCGTGCCGGCACAAAGGTTTAACCCATTGTGCCACCAGGGGCTCCACAGGAAAGTATGAGGAAACCTTAATATGTGCTGTCAAATGTTTGTACAAAATTACCAAGTGGATGTTGAAGAGATCGGAATATAGCTTATGTCCCAGAAAATCCACATTGAAGTCTATGAGGCTATTTCACAAGAATGCTTTCTACTTTTTTGTTTTGCATACACTACATACAGGACAATAAAACTTTACATAGCTGCAAGACTATTTTTTTCTTCTGCAAAAGACTAACATACATAGTCTGTTGGTAATTGTTAACTAGCCCACTTGCTGATGGGGTGGAATCAGGTGATCTAATTACTTCAGCAGCCAGGGATTATTTTCCCAAGCCATCTGATCTGCAACAAAACTGCTGGAAAAATTCAAGATAGCAGGGGTTCTAGAAATGAGATACTAACACTATAGAATCAGAAATAAAATTCCACATTCCTTATAACGATTCTGGCTTCCTAACATTTGAAACATCTGCAAGCTATAGTCTACCAATGCAAACAAATAACAAAAGAAGTTCTGTAAAGTGCTCAGGCTTACATTTTGGGGGGCCTCTGGGGAAGACCATTTAATAGCAAGAAGTAGACACCACAAACACTTCTGTATGACCTTCCATGAAGGCATCCCCCGCTACCCTCCAACAAATTCACTATGAAATGGGGCATATGTAACTGTGAATGTTTTATATCTGACACTGTAGAGAATGGGAGGACAAACTAAATTTCTTTTTTAATGTTGATGGTTTCTTCTATTTTTATTTTTTCTTCAAATAATTTGAAAAAACCCAAAATCCTCTATATAAATGTAGTCAGTATGCTTTCCCTCTCCCCCACACAGAGATATGCAGGGAGAGAGAAGGTACAGCACATTATCAGTTAAATGATGGACTGGTAGCATTATCATAACTGCACTTTTAGAATTCAGCAAAGACCTCCCAACTCAATTTTTATTTTAATCTCACTCTCTGTTAAAGTGTGTTTTGTTTGTTAATTGACTTCTGTAGGAGACGGCAATTAAACAACATCCTCCCTGAAGTCTAGTTCAGCCACCTTGTAAATTAGACACCTACAGTACGTTTTTTAAATAACAGCTTGTATTTACTATAAAGGAGAAGGGAAACTATATAAGCTCAAAGTTCCTTATCATAAAACCTACTCATTTTAGTGAGGTTTGTGCCAGCAGAACAGGCCCCAAATTCCAGCCTAGCGCTCTGTTCTACTGTACACCATACAAATGCTTAGACAATGAAAACACTGTTTTAAAGGTGTTCATGTCACACAAAAGAGAAGTTGACAAATCCTTTATTCTTAATCACAGATATAAAGTTTATTTGGACATATAAAAAGTGATCAATAGGGAGAAAAAGTATAACAGTAATCCAGTAAAGATGGAGCCAGAATGTTACTAGGTGCATTATAGGGCCAACTAAAAAATTTCCCTCCAACCCCCAGAAAACTCAGCCCTCTGGATTAAGGGCTCCTCATTGAAGGAATGGAAGCTGAATGGATCAGAAGAAGGATGAGGGTCTGAAATAAGTCTGAAGTTCTCTTCTGCCCTATCATGATCAAACAAGCAAATGCAGGCTTTTTAAAAGGAGGTGTAGAGCAATTTATAGACTACCAAACAAATTAACTCTCTGCTTAGCTGGACCATAGAAGTATTTAAAAAGAAGTGAGTTTGCATTAGAAGGCACACTGTGACCACATTTCAACTGTAACATTTTGATGTACTTGCAATTCTGCTCTGGTAATATGCAAAAAAAAAACAAAACCTTGAGAGGTGCTAAAAGAAGGAGACACATTTTAAGGTAAACAGATGCTGAAACACAATGATCTTTAAAAACTAAAGATTGCTGCAACCATCTTTAACTCTAGCATAGTTTGTACAATTTAACCCTAAATATTAAACATCAAATATTGAGCAACACTGAATATGGGAACAAATTTAGGCAACAGAGATGTGAAACTGAAGGGAGTAAGAACAACAACAATAAATCTTTATTTATATCCTGCTTTTCTCCCACAAAGGGACTCAAAGCGGCTTCGAACATGTTAAAATCTGTTGTTGTTGTATATTCGTTCAGTCGCTTCCGACTCTTTGTGACTTTATGGACCAGCCCATGCAAGAGCTCCCTGTCAACTGTGGCCACCCTCAGTTCCTTCAAAGTTAAGCTAGTCACTTCAAGGATACCATCCTTATATAATCAAATACAATATAAAATCAACAATCAAAGACACTAATATAAAATATAATAGGCAATCAATAAAACATAAATAAGCATTTACAAATGATATAAATTATTGTGTTGTCGAAGGCCAGAATTGCCAGAATCACTGGGTTGCTGTGAGTTTTCCGGACTGTATGGTTATGTTCTAGAAGCATTCTCTCCTGATGTTTAACCCACATCTATGGCTGGCATCCTCAGAAGTTGTAAGGTCTGTTGGAAGCTAGGCATATTATTTGAGAACACAGAAATGCTGAACCACTCTAACAACCACATCAGACTACACAGAGAAGTCACTGAAATTCACAAACGTGGACAATTTCAACAGAAAGGAGGAAACCATGAAAATGAGTAAAATCTGGCTACCAGTATTAAAAACTCTAAAATCAGGGCAGTAAATAAAGAACAACACTCAGAAAACAGGGGAATTCCAGACAGGAAACAATCAGCGCTAGTTAGCTTTATGTTTTGTGTATATTGTTTATATGCTTATATGTTTTATATTTTAATGCTATGTTGTTTATTTTATTGCAATTTGTATCTTATTTTATTGTATTTTGTTGTTCAGGCTTGGCCTCATGTAAGCCGCCCCGAGTCCCCGTTGGGGGAGATGGTGGTGGGGTATAAATAAAGATTATTATTATTATTATTATTATTATTATTATTATTATTAGTTAACACCTCCCAACAAAGGTTCCCCCAGGCAGGAAGCAGCCAGGCTTTGAAGCTGCAAGGCTATTCAATGCTAATCAAGCTAGATAATTGCAACATTTACACTTGCCTCAAACAGACGAGAGCTCTTTCTCCCACCCTGGACATTCCACACGTATATAAACCCCACTTGCCTAGATTCCAACAGACTTCACAACCTCTGAGGATACCTGCCATAGATGTGGGTGAAATGTCAGGAGAGAATGCTTCTGGAACATGGCAATACAGCCAGCAACCCAGATATATATTATTGTGGTGTCTTGGCAAATCTTAGTACCTCTGATATGTCAGATTGGCCATGTGTTTCTTTACTTAATGCACGTGGACTGTCAAGAAGCCCTAAAAGAACAAAGAAAGTACTATGGCACTTTTTAAACTTCTGATTGAAAAGTTTCCCTTCACTTCAAACACAAATCAATCTGGAGTCAAGAGGAACAATTTACTGATTGGCTAGAACAAATGTATAAGCTTGCATTGCAATGAGCTATGAGCAATTATAACAAACATACATGATTCCAGTTCTCTCAGTGAAAATAACAGACACATTAGTTAAGTTGGGCTAGTCTTCCCTTAAGTGGTATGTGATAACATATAGATGGCAATGTATTCTTATGCTACTTGCACATCAACACAGATCAAAGCATATTACTTTCTCAAGTTATCAAAAAATTAAGGTGAAAATTAGGGAGAGTTGCAGGCACAACATGAAGTCACGTCTTCTACTCTATATCCCATGAAGGTGAAGTCTTTACTGCCTGGTCAGTGTGAAATAAACTGAGTGCTGCCTATGGTGCTGAACTAAACTCTTTGTCCTGCAATACTGAATCAATGACACTAACTGCCTAAAGTTAAAGGAGCCAAATGATTACAGGCATTCCAGAGAAACCCTTACAGATTGCATTCAAAAATGTTGCCAAAATGGCATATTGTGTACAACTGGCCTTTAAAAATGGGTGATACTTGGGGATACTGGGGGATTCATATATTCTTTGAGAGAATTGCTCTTTGCACATTTTTATATTGGGGGGGGGGCGGCTTTTGAGTGGTTTTGGTGCAAATGTTGACCATAAATAATGCTTTCTCCCACTCTGGACATATTCCACTTTCCTAGTTTCCAACAGACCTCACAACTTCTGAGGATGCCTGCCATATATGTGGATGAAACATTAGGACAGAATGCTTCTGGAACATGACCATATAGAAAACTCACAGCAACCCAATGCTATTTCTTTTGAAAAACTGGAAGAATGGGGGGCTTGGGTGGTCTGGCTTCAGAAGTCACAAACATGGGGACTGGTGATCTCATGTATTCTGGGAGTCATACTTTTTCTGCCCCAATACAGGTGGACTAAACTATTTTAATTCCAAGTACCTCTGCTGATAAAACTGCGCCAGACATTTTTTTACAACAGATAATAACACAAATGTTTTGTCATTGTTGCTGTGGTGGCTTTAATTTTTGAAATATTGATTCATCTTAACAACATTACTAAAAATAGCTTCTGCTCTACTTTATGTTCAGTAACAAATGAACAGGCTACACAGATAAAAACAGACTGACATATATTACTTGTCTAGCCAATGAATGCTATTAAACTATAAGCTGAAGCTTGCCTGTAGCT